AAAATGAGTTTTGTGGTGGTGATTTTTTTTTTTGAGAATATGTGATTAAAAAGTATGAAATGGTTTTGAGTTTATGTACAAAATTATCATTTTTGGAGAATGTGTAGTTGAAAATTAGTTTAGAAAAAATGAGTTTTCAGGGAAAGTGGCTTAAATAGGGGCAAAGTTTCTGGTAACTTAAGAAATTCATACTAATGGTCTGAATAGCTGTCTTAAAGTAGCTAATTGGCCTTTTCCTACTTGGCCACTTTAATGGTCCTCTCTCGCATGCTACAAACTGCAAAGAGCAATTGAACACCATATTGATCAAAATCACTTAGAGTAAATGGAATATAATTCAGCAGTATTATATTTTCTTAGATTTGATCAGGTTGAATTTTGAATTTTTCTGGAACTAAATCTTTTCAGGCTTCTCTTATTTCTTCCCCTGTTAGATGTTTTTAAAGGAGGTCAATGGTGCAACGTTTAGTTTCAGTACATTTTTACTGCTTGTTAGATGTATTCTCATGTTGCATTGAGTCTTACCACTCACCTCATGTGCATATAGGTAAATGACGATGAAGAAGAAGGCAGCAAGGTTTGTACCTATTACAAATTAGACTCTATCCCTGTCATTCTGATAATTGACCCAATAACGGGTCAGAAAATGCGCTCTTGGCTTGGAATGGTTCAGCCGGAAAATCTTTTAGAGGTACATGAACTGGATCCCCATGTACTTTATACAGCATCTTTTTATTTTTTATCTACCAAAGTAAGTTTAAACCCTTCAAGGTGTTTGAAGCTTCAAATTAATGAACTAGAATTTCCTGTTGTTGACTCTAGCCCTTTGTTGCTTCTGTAGGACCTCTTACCATTCATGGATAATTGCCCCTCAGATCATCATGTCAGTCTGTCTCATAAACGTCCAAGAGGAAGTTCTCAAGCACCACCTTCCGGGTGTCAAGGTATGCAAAGTAAGACCTTTTTTTGGCATAATTGTCTAAATCTGTGTAATTCGTGGAGTCCTGGACCTCTATGACCTTTGCACGACCATTCATCTGATGAGAAAATATACCATTTAAAACATTTTGGTCTAGCTATGGTTAATGTCAAGAATAAAAGGCCCTTGATGCTTCAATTCAAATGCTTTAACAGCTATGCTACACATTGATACAATTGTTTGATGTTACTTGCTGCTTACATTTGTGAGTTCTCAACCCTTTTTGGGAAAATCAGACAGAAAAATGTACTCTTAACTGTCTTCAGGTGTATGTCGTTATTAAAATGTATCTGGAAATTTCCTTATATGTCTCCATGCAGATGACAGTAGTCTGTTCATTAGTCGTTGTCAACCGCAGTTACTTAACCAAAGAGTAGTCTTTCTACCCCAGTTCACACAATGAGTTTTTTTTATTTATTTTTATTATTATTATTTTTATATATTCTTCAAAGAAATAAAATCTAGTTGCTGAATATCATTTGGTTACCTGATAGGAAGTGTAGGTATGGAGGTGTCGATAGGCAGGACTCAAGTGATAATTGCCGAATAACTTAATATAGTTAGTCGTATTATCAAAACAATAAATATAGAAGAAACTTCCAAAAGTACAAGTGCTAGAAGGATGTGTCATGGTAGTATCTAAGTGACCTGACTAGTCATTTGTACGTCTTTACACTTCTGTTTCATATACTTTTTCTGTTTCTCTTATTCCCTTCCCCTTTCTAGTTTTATTTATACATCATCATTGTGACTTCTAGCATATAAAATGGCAGTTAAATTTAGATTGTTGGTTATCTGCAGCAAATGAAAGGAATGAAGAAGAAGTTGCATTTCAACGAGCATTGGCAGCTTCTATGGAGGGCATTAAGGGAACTGATGAAGGTATCCCGAAAGAAGTGGACAAAACCATTTCGGAGAAAAAGGAAACATGCTTAGTGAAGAAGCCTGCTTATCCACCGTTACCTGAAGAACCGAGGGGCGATCGAAACCTGCTTTGCAGGGTTGGAGTCCGTTTTCCAGATGGACACAGAGTTCAGAGGAACTTCCTACGCACTGATCCAATTCAGGTAAAAGTTTTCTTATTAGCCACCACCATTAGATTTTGCTTTGTCATATTACTTCTATCTGTTGATCTGTTAGGCAATGATGTCAAACATATAAATTAGTATTTTTGTTTTATTTTTTTGGGAAGGATTTTACCTTGTAATTTGAAAATAACGTATTTGCCTTGATGTGGGGCTATCTTGTGGTACTAGAGTTTGCTAGCCTTGATTTGCATGTAGGTGAATCAGATGTAGGCCCTGTGTGTGCGTGTCAAATATAAGCCATGTCATTGGAGTTAAAGTTTCAACTCTCTATCTCCTCCCTAATTAGGTGATATTTTGCTATTTTCTTTTTCTAGCATATCTTACTACCCTTTTTGTTATGAGGATATATTGCATATGGGATTTTGGGAGTTGGTTTTTAGTTTTGACTAAAAGTTAAAACTAATGAGCCCTTAGAATTGAATAAAACTATTGTGTTCAGTTGAAATTTTGCATGAAGACATGCATGTATACGACTGTGTGTATTTTTTTGGTAGGTAATCAAATATTTTATTAATTAAGAGATAATACACATGATGTGTATCTTCAACTTGAACAAAAAAGAAACAACATTAAATTAGATAGCTTCTATATGACTAGTATTCGTAGCATTAAACTAAATATACAATGTCGGATATAATTCTCTAATCTGCTCTGTTGTTCGTTTTTTATCTTCAAAATAGTGGATGTTCCTTTTTATCCACACACACACACCATACAAAACAGCCCAAAATAAGGTCCCATTAAATTAGATAGCTTCTATATGACTAGTATTCGTAGCATTAAACTAAATATACAATGTCGGATATAATTCTCTAATCTGCTCTGTTGTTCGTTTTTTATCTTCAAAATAGTGGATGTTCCTTTTTATCCACACACACACACACCATACAAAACAGCCCAGAATAAGGTCCCATTAAATTAGATAGCTTCTATATGACTAGTATTCGTAGCATTAAACTAAATATACAATGTCGGATATAATTCTCTAACCTGCTCTGTTGTTCGTTTTTTATCTTCAAAATAGTGGATGTTCCTTTTTATCCACACACACACCACACAATGCAGCTCAGAATAAGGTCCCAAACTAGCTTGCTATCTTTATTACAAAACTTTCTTCCCTATACCCTTAACACATCCTCCACACGCCTCGGCCCACCCACGTGTTGAGAAGTCAGAATATCGTTCCATAACAAACGAGCACAATCACAATGAAGGAACAAGTGGTTAATCGTCTTCCTATCCCTCTTACACATATAACATCACTCGGTAACATAAAAACCTCTTACGGAGATTATCCACCGTTAACATCATTAAATATTGCATGTGTATAATATCGTTAGGGATTAATTATTATGTACCCCTATGAATTAGTGGTGTTTTCTGCGTTACCTCATTTATGTACTAGTTTTACATAGTCTTGATGGCGATTAGTTCTTGAGATTTTTTTTAAAGGTTTCGTGCAGTTTCCAAGGAGCAAGTTTATAGTTTTGACTTAAAATGGTGAGGTTAGCGTGATCCTGTAATCAAAACTTTGTATGGTTTTGAGAGTGATATTTTGTATTTCGATGTATTTGTTTTCTATTGCAAACTCCGAGAACTAAAATATTCCAGAGAGGGACATAGTCATGTACCCTGAATTATTGATGCTTCAAATCTTGTGAAAGAGATTCTTTCGCATGATTTTCCTGCTGTTTATTCTAGGTATGGTTTTAGATTTCTCTCCTAGAGCACCACGTTTACACAAGTTGGACAGTTTCCTTCTGAATCTGCGACCAGCTGGCCAAATGGAAGTGCTTCATTTTTTTAGTCATCAACTACATGCGTACTTATATTATCAGAGCATCCTATGTTGCTCCAGCTGCTGAACTGTCTTCTGTACTGATCATGTTTCTTCATCCTTTTTGGATTTTTCCAGTTTCAATTCTATAGCGAGACATGAATCAATCGAAACTAAGTCTTATTATATTGTGATTTTCGGAATTGACAATTGAAATTTAATGATGTGACATGTAGACTCCAATTTTCTGCTGCACTTCTCATTGCATCTAGAATCAACCATTTTCGTTTTGCATATCTCAACTTCCAAATTTACTTTTCAGTTCCTTTATTTTATATTTTGTGATTTTGTTCTCCACTGAAAACTCCTCTCAGTCCATTGCTGGTTGTGTACATACAGTGAATTGTAATATATTTTTCTAGTGGCTTCTGTTTACTTTGATATGTGCTTTCAGTTGCTGTGGTCTTTCTGCTACTCTGAGCTGAAGGAAGCTGATATGCGGCCATTTCGTCTTGCACAAGCCATTCCTGGGCGAACTAAATCTTTGGAATACGACAGTGGTTTGACGTTTGAGGAGTCTGATCTTGCCAACTCGATGATTTCAGTTAATTGGGAGTGAACATGATGAGTCTGATGTTTTTCTGTATCGAGGTCATAAAAACTTGCACCATCCAAGAATTTTTGTTTCGACTGTTGAAGCTTTGCATCCCATATTATTATTGCTTGCATTTGAAGAAACAAGTGTGTATGGAATAAAATAGCATCTGCTTATTATCTATCATGTATATATTCCATACCATAGCATGGAAGAAGTAATGGGATATTTATATTGTGGAAGTTTTATGTATTAGTATATGCCTTCAATTTTTATTTTTACTTATTTATTTATTTTTTACCCCCCCTTTCAAAAATGGGTATAATAGGCTGTTTTTGTTTTCAGTTTATGAGAATGCTTGATTAGTTCATTAAGTTTAAACGATCAATTTGAGTAAGCAATTTGATCTGTTGAAAGCATTAACGAGTCCATGAATTTGATTTGTGTGCACAAATGAGTTTGCATGCCGTGAATGCGTATTACCAGTCTAAAGCTCAAACGACGTGCTTCAACGAGTCACTATTTTGGAGGATATGTTGAAAGATAATTTTCTCGTCGAATAGCAATGAAAATATTAATTGACATATAAGGTGCTTTGGTTATTCATGTTTAAGAGTAGAATCTCAAATTTTAATATCATACGTCGTTGAATGTAACAATCTTTAAGTAAAATGGTAACATTTATATTTACCATGATAGAGTATAAAGCAATTGGGAATTAGAAAACTGAGTAAGATTTGGCATCACCATCATAGGATTATAAATTTATATTTTATACGTTAAAGTAAAAAAGCAATTAAAAATTTGTTGTCACCATCATTTACATGTTGAATCCACAAATATTAGTGGATGGAGTAGGACTAGGAAAAAAGTGTAAAAAGCAACACCTAACGAATATTCATTATAAAACTAAATTTTAAAACCGTTTTTGAGTACTTCTGGACAAAAATAAGTCAACATATTTATTATTATTATTATTTGCTATCTTGTAAAGAGAACGTGACAGCGAGTGGTGAAAAATATATACACCCTCCAACAATCGACCAACATTTTTAAATTGAAAGGTTCGTAAATAAAATAATTTTAAATTCTTGAGACGTGTCAAAAAATGATGAAATTACTCCGTTATTAAGTACGTTAAAGCTTGTTTAGTCTACTTCAACTATTGTCCATATGTGATTCATATTAGATTTGACAAGTTATCCATGCTATTTCCTCTATGTTCTTGACAATCCAAGTGTGTCAGTAGAATCTTTCAATGGCATGTTTCGATCATCTTCCACATAATTAAACGAGCTATTGATTCAGGTACAAGATACTATCGTTACCTTATGGACAATTAAACATCCAATCCCTAATCGCAATATCCAATTGCAAGAGCGGAGCTCTACCAACTAAGCTATATCCGCCCAAGCCAAGTTACAACAATGGCTTCTATTGCTATATCCGTGGTCTTATTATGGGACTGTCTCCCGTTTCTAGACGTCTCTCTCTTTTTTAGATGAATTTCATTCTAAAATACATGTGTACTATTATATTTGATGTGGTAGGCTTATTAAAGGAGCACATAATTGAAAATGCCAAAAATCAAACAATATTTTTCAATTGAAAAAGACGTCAATTTCATCTACTTATCTAGTGAACCATGAGGACTACTAAGTGAAAGACTTGACGAACTTAGATGATCTTTACCTTCGAATTAAACCTTAGGAGAAAAGCACCTAAGAATCTAAAGACATGTAGGCATTTATGGAAGGTATTTATTATTGTGGGAAAATTTAAATTTAATGTGAACATTTTCCAACCACAATTATTTCCTAACCACATACATGTTGTTTCCTACTCCCCTCGTCCCATTTATGTAGGTTTGTTTTGTTTTTCACACTAATTAAGAAATCTTATTTAATGTTTTTGAAAAAGCAATTTTTGTCAATAACTTTTCTAGTTTACCCTTATTTATTTTTGTGCAATTTCAAGATTAAATGAAAAAATTTGTTATAATTAAGTAAATTAAATAAAGGTTTAATAGTAAATGAACAAAACAAAACAAGCTTAATAAAGAAACAAGACTATATAATTGAGACGAGAAAATAAGAAAAGTAAACTTATATAAATGGGACGAAAGAAGTAATGTTTTTTTACCTTAATAGAGTCTTAAATCAAGTAGGTTTAACATCTTGGCTCCATGAAAGAAGAGTAATCTACAAACAATTTTGTTTCATAGAGTTTGATGATGACGACAATCTGGATTTTAGGACGAATATTTTCTTATTAGGGAGAATAGTGTAATAGTGTACACATTAGTATACATGGAGAAACTCGATCATTCGAATGCCGACTATAAAGTTTTTATTACAAAAGGTTGAAAACATTTGACATGAGGATTATTTAAATTAAAGTCGTCTAACCTATCATGGTTAAGCACACCTGAAACGTCAGTCTCTCATACCTAATTTCTGTGGCGTCAAGATTAATGTTAAGAAATGGCTTAATGGATAAAATAAGTTTGATGGCGGCTTCCCAAAAAGAGCAATAGCAATAAAGTAAAAACACATGGAAGTTGACTATGATTGATGTTGAGAGTCACCTTATGTTTTTTTAAAAGAACCACCAACATAACTTTTCAAGGGCAAAGGAATAAACCAAAGGCGATTGAATGAATGTAAAGAAGAAATCGACTTTCTGGACTTAGTTTTCTTAGTAAGTTTACTTTATCTCCTTCAAGTAGCGAGTACGAAAGGAACCAGAAGTCGTAAAGACACGACACTTGACATATAATAAAGAGAAATATGCCTTAATATTTCTCAATATTTAATTGATATTTCAAAAAGCAAAACAAAATTATAACCTAATTATGATAATAGATATAATTGCACATTTAGTCCCTTGTTTCCTCTAATAATTATTAATTGATAGGTTCAAACTTTTATAGAATAACCAAAACAATACAAATAAATAAAATTAAAAGAAATCCACCATCCTCAATACTTGATCCGCGCGCTAAATCTAGATTAAACCTAATCTCTTCGGATAGTTCCAAACGTTCGACGACTATATAAATTGGTAAAGCACATTATAATAGAGATTTTGACAAAATGTTGCTAAGAAATTATGCCGTCTCTATAACCAGTGTAGCTATGTTCTATGTTTTGAAGTATAGTTATGTTCATGTTTCTATTCTTACTTTAACATTTACAAAACTTCACTTTGAGATTTATTTTTTAAAATAAATTCCTATATATATATATATATATATATAATAGCTTTCTTTCTGTTTTCTCTTTCATTTTCAAGGACTTTTGTTTGATTTAATGTGTCGATTAGTTAAAAGAAATGGTGTTTTAAAATTTTCAAATATAATTCTTTTGTTTGTTTGCAGATATTTAACAAATTAATATAAATATTAAACTAGAATTATTAGATAAGAATAAAATTAAACAAAATTCATCGCTCTAAATTCATCCACTAATAATTATTCTAATTAAATGTTTAGATCTTTTATATTCTTTTTAGACTTTAAGTTTGACTAATACCCTAATATTTATGAAACATTCTTTTCAACTAAAGCAAAATAAATATTGGAAGAGAATAAACGCCTTTGTGGAAGCATTAAGCAAGAAATTTTATCCGGCCTCGTTCTCCGAAATTAACTGAACTTGAAATAATGTGGCCGGAAAATAATCACCATGTTTGGGGGTTAAATTTCGTGGCACATTGAAAATTGAAATTGCCAATAATAAGAGCTAAAACAATGTAACCGGACTGATTATGTTTTTGTCATTTATGTTGTAGCTTTACTGTATTAGGATAGAAAAGTTATTCAGTCACCATGTATGAAGAAGTTGTGTACAAGTGCTGTGCTAATACTGTATTTCCCTTGATTTTCTTATAACACGATGAACTTAGTAAGAACTAGTGTAGAGGTTACTTCGTATAAAAACCTTGTGTTTCATTGAGTCAATTGTTCCAATGATCATTGAACTTAGGTTCATGTCGTTGATTGTTCACTGAATTTTAAAATGTCAAGTTTTGGTTACTGAACTTAGGTTCATATTTTTGATTGACCACTGAAATTTAAAAAAATATCGAGTTTTGACCATTGAACTTTGAAAAATGTTGAGTTTTGGTTAATGAACTTAGGTCCATGTCTTCAATTGCTCACTGAAGTTTAATATGTCGAGTTTTGACCACTGAATTTTGAAAAATGTTGTGCATTACTCACTGAATTTTGAAAAATATTGTACATTATTCACGTAACGTTAAAAAATGTTGTACATTATTCACTGTAAACTAGATATTTTTCAAAGTCCAACAGTTATGCTAGTGAGTAACGTACGACATATTCCAACGTTCAATGATCAAAACTCGATATTTTAAACTTTAGTGAGCAATATAAGATATGTACCTAAGTTTGGTGAGCAATTAAAGACATTGACTTAAGTTCAATGCCAAAACTCGACATTTTAAATTTCAATAACCAATCAAAGTGATGAACCTAAGTTCAGTGATCAAAACTCGACATTTTAAAGTTCAATGACCAATAAAAAAATATAGACCTAAGTTCAATGACCATTGAAACAATTAACTCTGTTTCATTAATGAGCGCTTTTGCTTGGGAAGTAATTAAAAAGGCAATTATTACCACAACCATGATGTTGTATTTTAATTCCAAAGTATCATTCCTTCTTTCTTTCTTATTTTTTTAATTTTTTGTTCGTGATAATTTTTGTCCAACATATTTGTAGACAAATAGTGGGAGGAGAGGTGTAAACAAGGTGATTGAATTTTTTTGTGATTGAATTTTTTGTAATTGTAGAAATTTATGCAATCTTAAGTTATCTGCTTTTAGCACAGGAGATGAAAAATCTTAGTTTTAGCCTTAATTGTTTCTAGATATAAGCGATGTAATCTATTGCAAAATAGCATAATATATTATCCTCGATTGTTTTCATATTTTATATTTTCTTTTGTTTTTATAAATAATTTATTTTTATTAAACTTTGCAAATATATAATGCTTAAATGAATAAATTTAATAAAAGTAATGTGATGAATATAGTAGTTTTTAAAATTTTAAAATTCTAATAGGGATAGATCTATAGTGAAAAATATTTAAAAGCTGTGTGAATATATAGTATTTAAATGAATTAATTCAATACGGATAACGTTGGAATGTAATGTGGATGAATATAATATTTTTTAAAATTTTTTGAATGGAATAGATATAAAAGAACAATGGATGAAAATATAGGCTCCAATCATTATTGATTCATCTGTACTTTTTCCATGAAAGAAACGAAGAAAACCTTGCAGCTATTTTGTTTCTTTTCATTTTACTTTCCAAAATTAGTTGCTATTCGTAGGTTTTCTTTGCAACTTTTGTTACCATTATAAACGGTTGCTATACTTTCAAATAGAAATCATTTCAAGAAAGAAGCATGTAAATATCATCATCATATGCATTCTTGAACATATATTCCACTTCAACACCACCATCCATCACATTTTCATCCAATTTATGATTTTTTTCAAGCATTAAGGTTTGGTTAACCTACAGGGTCTATAACATTTGTATGTCTAAATTTCATAATTTTAGAGGTTTGATTTAATAACAATCTGTGGAATTGCGAGTCGAACATCTTAAAATTATATCTTTCGAGTATTTTTTGTTATCTTTATAGATTAGTATTTCAAGATGAAAAGTTTCACAAATCAAGTTGTTTCAATTTAAAAGAAGTATCTCGATTGGAAGGACCTTTATAAGTCTTGTTGCTCTACAATCTGTGGAATTGCGAGTCGAACGTCTGAAAATTATATCTTTGGCGTATTTTTTGTTATCTTTATAATATTTCAAGATGAAAAGTTTCACAAATCAAGTTGTTTCAATTTAAAAGAAGTATCTCGATTAGAAGGACCTTTATAAGTCTTGTTGCTCTACATTCCGTGATGAGAATGAAGTAGCTCATAAATTGGCTTCATTAGCTACTGTTTCATGTGCCCATGTGCACCACTGATTAGATTGTGTACCTATTTCTATTTTGCCGGTAGTTCAATGAGACCCAGTTTAAAATTGATTATTGAATTTGACCTCTAGTTTTTGGCAACCTCTTCTCTCTCTTAATTCCCATGTCTTGTTTGCTATAGTTGTAAGACAAAATCCCTGCCTCTCATGGGGTGGTTGAGTTGGTGGAGTAGGTGAGTGCGGAGACCTTTGATCACGAGTTCGATTCTCCCTACCAACATTTTCTTGATCGAGCTTATCGCACAGGACTTGTTTAGTGCGATTTACCTGGCTGACATGGTTTGCAGACTATTGTGTCAATCCGAGGGTTTACCCAATACGCACCCAAAGGGTAGCGGCTGCGGAATCCACCGTCATAAAAAAAATAAATAAATAAATCCCTTCAAGAAAAATATAATTACTCGTATGTGCGTCTTATCCATTTTATTTCGTACATTTAAACATGTAGAGGTAGATAAAAAGACAACCCAACTAGAATACAGAAAATACAACGAAACTCAGGTGGCCCAACCCCAATTATAATATTAGCGCACAAACTTTAGTGGAAATTTTGCCAGAAAAAAGAAACACGACTTGTGGAGACCTAAGATTGCGTATTTTATTGTCTGTCTTCAAAATTTTATTTCAACTTATCGATCAAATGCATCCTTATATTCAAAGCCCTCACTGAATGCAAACACAGACATTATAGAAAACCTCTATATCATTTCAGTACTCTTAATTAAAGATATGGCTGAAGAATGTCATGAAAGAACTGCTGCTGCTACCTCCTCCTCTTTGTATAATTGGTTGCCAGATCTCCATGCAAGTTCTTTATCTTCTTGGAGCACAAATAATCCATGGAGCCAACAAAATAACAGCTCCAATTCTTCTGGTGAAGAGGATATTTCCATGTTTACGACGTACACAAATGTTTCTAATCAGTCTGGTTTCAGTGTCGAGTCGTCGCACAGACTGGTAGAAAGTGTTTCGACTAATGAGCTGGTTAGCGAAACGGGTTCTGATAATCACTCCTGGAGCCATCTTGTTCTGTAAGTACATAAGATAATTGTTCGACCCTAATAAAAAAATTTATTTTTCATTCCAAGATTTTGGATTTATCCTTGTGTTTCCATTATTTTGTCTTTTTATCTTTAATTTCTTGTTCAGTAGTGGCATCCCTATAGCTATTTTTTGTTCATTTTGGTAGGTGAGAAGAACATGTTTTATCCCCCAGAAAAGAATAGATGTTTAGTTTATAGGGTTGGTGAAGATAACTCGAGTGATCAATCATATAGTTCCCAAATTCTTCTATTTGAATAATGCGACAATATTGAATCACTAGTGTTAAGCATCCCTCTATTTATCATTTATATCTCATCCTTAAGCACGAAACCAATATTTCTATTCAATAATCATTTAATTACAAGTGTTAAAAGAGATGTTATGGGCATCGGAGGAATAAAATAATTAATATGGAGTATTAAGATACAAGAACTAATTAAATATACCCTGAAAAATTTAATTTTGAACAAATTTCTTGAGCCCAATTAAGTATTCTTAGTTACTTGTATAATTAAGTTGTATTGATCATATGCTTTCTATCGAACCATCTCAACTAAAAGTTTAAGATATTAGAGAAGTGGCATGTTTATTTATCTAAATTTAACTTACGTGGTCTGGAGGATGAGCAAAATTCAATCTTCAATTTGTATGATTTGCAGAAATGGTTGCAATGGGGACTTGCAGAACAGTAAATATGTTGGAGAGAATCTACTAGATGAATTTTCATCAAAAAACTTGCCGGTTAAGATGTTTGATCCTCAACATGACTACTTGAAGAAAATGGACAATGAATGGGATCTCACGAATTTCCGATATTTAAACTGTACCAACAAACAGTTAAACGAGAGCTCGGATGAAACTGAAAGGCTAAACAAGCTGTCAAATTCATTCTGCAATCAGTGTACATCATCATATCACCATCAGTTTGGTTTATGTTCTTGCAATACATCATTAAGTTCCGTATTAAAGAACTGTGGCAACAGTTTGATGTCTTCTAGAGGAAACATGGACAAGAATTTCAGCTCAATATTGTCAGATCGAAATAGTCGTGAAATGAAAGTAGAAAATATAGGAGGAGGCAGTGAGGCAACAGGGACTGCATTTCCTAGGTTGTTCAGCAGTGCTAATGAAGGGAGTAAATATCAAATGACCTCTATCAAGAACACAGCCATAGGGGGTGATCATGGCAGATACCACAGTGGATTAAATCAACCAGATAATCAATGGAATAATACAAACAAGCCATGGATCGATATCAATTCATCTAAATCCGATCTCGAAACTTTGAATTTATCAGATTCTAAGAAGAGGCTGCAACAAACTTCCTATCCAGTAAGCTCTTCTGTCATATATATTCTTCTTCCTCCTCCTCTACCAATACTAATCAATATTAAGTGAAAATTTTTAAATAATAAAAGCAATCAGAGTATTATGTACCTAAAACCATGAAATTAATTTACCTAATTTTTTTAAAATTTTTTCCTTGTCTTTCCGAAAAAAGTTTCAGTCTACCATAGCAACAAGCTCTACAGACATAACACGAAGCAACGTGAGGGCACAAAGAATTAGAAATCATGAAGGAAAGAAGAAAAGAAGTGAAGAGAGTTCAGGCACATGCACAGTTGCGAAGAAGCCTATGCTTCAACATCCAACAGTCTCATCTACAAAGGTAACAGTAATTTAACCAATTATCAAAATTATCTGGCCTCATCGTGTAAGGGACAGAACCACGAATTTAGTCTAATGGGACATAACTGAAGTAAATTTTTGTAAGACGCAAACAATCAAGAATCTTAAATAATTTCCTTTAATGGTTTTCATTCTTCAGAAATGACTTTATTATTATATCAAACATCCGTTTAGTCCAATTGAAAAATTATCCCATTGATCCGCTCCTTTTATTTATTTTTTTTTTTTTGCGAATTTGATGCTGTTGAGTAACGTTATAATCCATAATCAATTTTTTTAGTCGAAGATATCTAAGTAGTTGTGAATATCAGTTCTACACTACATGATATGTTTACGTTTATTCCGTCAGAAATAGAAATGTTCTTTTATAATATCGTTTCCTAGTTGTTGCATATGAAGCTCAACCAAAGAAAAATCAGAAAATATTTTAATAGTATTTAAAAATAAAAGCAGTATTAAAGGATGCACAAAATTCTTGAAATACTTAATCAACACACTTAAAAAAACATTTATTCAAGATTGAAAACAAAACTAGTTAAGACCAATTATCAATTAAAAAGAAAAAAATGAACCACACATGATATAATAAAAAATATTCTGGGGACAAGAAGTATATAGAAAGAATTTTTGGGCGAAAAAGTCTAATATATATACACACATTTGTAACTTAAAAATTCCAGTGGAAGCAATTACCAAGAATGAACTTGTTGTGAAATGTTTTTGTTGATATTTAGACGCAGGCTCCCAAAGTAAAGCTTACAGACAAAATCACAGTTCTTCAGCAAATCGTGTCGCCATTCGGAAAGGTTAGATACTAGCATTAATATATGAAGACTAGCTAGAAAGATATTATATTCATGAATTTGTTGATTTATAATTTGTTGGTTTAATGTTTTAGACTGACACAGCATCTGTTTTATGGGAGGCAATTTGCTATATAAGGTTTCTCCAAGAACAAATACAGGTGATCACAGCGTCAATACAGACTCTTCCTATTTTCATAATTATTTCAAACTTCCATTTGGTGAAGTGGTGAAGTGAAAGGGGAAAAGAAACTCAGATAGAATATATGGCATTCATTTACTTGAAAATATACTTCATCATTTATTTGTAACCTGGAAAATTTTCATTTCTTTCTGCAGTTATTGAGCAACCCCTACATGAAGAACAACTCATGCAAGGTGATCATTTGAAAAAATAAAAAAGTATCATGAAAGGAAAAAAATGAAAATCCACTTTGTTTTTCTAGGTGAAAAATAGACTCCCATTCTTCAGAACCCAAAGAAAACTTTAATAATGTGTGGGCAAAGCTTCGACTAGAGAAGACATATATATGTGTTTAATTTTGTGTGTGTATGTGAATGCGCATTTTAAATTGGCGTGCAGGATCCATGGGGAGGATTGGATATGGTGGACATGGAGGTAGATGATCTGAAGAGTCGAGGTCTTTGTTTAGTTCCGATTTCGTGGGCACCTCAAATATATGGCGACAACAATGGGTCTGACTACTTTGCTCCACCGTATAGAGGATGTTTGTACAGATGAAATAATTAGTATGGAGGAAAAGGTCGATGGTTAAAAATAAATTTATGTGTGGAAACTGGAAAGGCAGATCCTTGTTTTCTTAATAAATTGGTCGATGTAATAAGCTAGCTTCCATTGTATACATTGTAATAAAATTTGAAATGTATCGCGCAATGTATAAACTTATATGTATTCTATGTTGGAGAGAGTTTTGAGATTATCGTTTATACATTGTACGATGTATCGAAGAGTAACTTGAGTCATGGTTCATAATCATATTTAGAACAATGGAAGGAAGTGGGGAGAAAGTTATGACAATTGGTACCATAGCATCGGGTTCAGATGAGAGGAGGTCTAACTTAGAGACACTTTTGCATTGTTGCTGGTGAAAACTGTTGGAAATTGGTTTAAAACTGAGAAAGATTGTTAACACCAAAAATGTGAAAAAATTAACGTTTTTGTCAACTTCGACCAAACATTCGAATTAGATCTGATAGTCAAATTACAAATGTAAATAAACTAACTTGTTTTACGTGTCAAGTAGATTGTTGCGGTATAGTTGGAATCTCAAAACAAATTTTAGATGAATGAAAAATTGCGATCCAAAATTGAAAGGAAAATAAAGGAAAAATTAGCTAGATTTTCGCCCAAACGGGGCTGTTGCTCAAGCGATAGACGGACAAAAAGTTTTTGTTAATATTTTGACATTGCCACTCGAGCGAGATATCAGCGATAGAATAGCGACAACAAATGTTACTTTTGTTCGTAAGATTGTGAGGTTTGCTACGCAATATTTCACCCACAATCCCTCATCCTCTTACTTATAGACCCTCTGGACGTTCATAATGCATTTCATATCACTTTTATATTAAGCATTGCATAAAATCAAAAACTATCTGAAAATCATTCCATATTGTTTTCTTTGTAGAGAGGATAAATTCCGTTCGAGTTCGTTGTTTGTGGTTTGAAGTTTTTCCACCACAAGTTGAATTTGTTATATCTTAGAAGACGAGTGTTGTGAACCGTTAGCACTATTGTGGGACAATTTTGTCTTAAGGAGAAAGTGTAATCACTTGCCTTGAATCGTTTTTCACCTTCATTTCTTCTTCTTGTTTTCTACTTCCATGAAGTTTAATTACACTCTTGCGATTTAAACTTTCTAATTTCGTCTTTGTTTGTTCATTACTAAACAACACTTTCACCATATATATATATATATATATATATATATATAAGACAAAATTCCTCATGTGATTGTTTTGTGGATACAAACCCGTGATCTTCATCTTTGGAATAGGCTTTACGTGTTATTCCTTTCTTATTGTTGCTGCGTTGAACTTTTGTTTGTGTAATAGAAATGAATAACATGGAGACGACTTCAAGTCAAACAATAAATGCTATGAATAATGTGGTTCTGCTTTTGACTGTACCACTTTAAAATACTGCGATCTCACATGGGAAAAACCTGAAAAGTTTGGAGGTGTGGACTTCAAGAGATGGTAACAAATGATGTTGTCTTATCTTACCATTCTAAACTTGGAGAAATTTCTAAAAGAGGCTGCACCAATGATACAAGGAAAATAATCGTGAATTGATTATTGCATTGAATGCATGGAAGCATTCGGACTTCTTGTGCAAAAATCATATCCTAAACGGATTGGACAATACACTATATGGAGTGTATAGTGTAAGATTTTAATCTAAATTTGAAAGGAACTAACAATCCAATTTCAATCCTTTCATCTCAATTGATCCATGTTGAAACCAAAGAGAACAAAATGAAAGCGGAAGCATACCTTGATCCATAATTGTAATTGATTTTGTTCGGGTTATGATCTTCCAACTGTTACGTGATTTCCTTTGAAAATCTTGGAAAAATACTCTCTGTTGATGGAAATGCAGAGAATCTAGAAAATTTCACGTACAGTTGGGGACCATGACCCCATGATAAATAACTGTAGGCAGTTATCATTTTTTGTTTGTTTTAAATTGGCTCCTCATCAATTTAAAACAACCACCCGGTCTCTACACTTTAATCCCATAACACTTAATACCCATAATTCCAAAATTAAACCCGATGGATCACTTTAATGGATTAAAACTTTAAGATAACAACACACATTTTAATTTATATACATGTGTGGTCCTATATATGTTGGAATTTTCCAGCAATCTCCCACTGGGCCATACATGTAATCTTTTAAATGTGCACAACTTATGAGCTCAAAATTTGCTATCATTATTAAGGGTATTTCCAAACAATCTCATCCATTAATTATATTGATGTAGGATCAAAGTGATTTTCGTCACACTTAACGTGACTAAATCCATCAATGGTCACGTACACCCATACAACCAAATGACATAGATCGATCATGAGAGCATAGCATGGAAATTACATGTTATGTGATCCAAACATGTCTATTTCCAACTGGTCCAACCTTATTTCTTAAGTGAGATCAATACTGAATATAATAACAGAGTGAAATGAACTGAATGCTTTATTTCTGTACAGAAAAATATTCAAATACACAAATGTGTCTAATTAAACATAAAGCAATAAGAATACAAACTCCCACCAAAACACGATGTCCTCAATAAATCTGACACCCATACGAGCAGTGTACTCATAAAAGACCTTGGGTGGCAATCCGTTAATAAGCGGATTCGCAATCATGGAGTTCGTCCCAATGTGCTCTATGGAAATTTGTCCACTCTGTATTCTTTCCTTCACGACTAGGAATTTAATGTCAATGTGTTTTGACTTAGATGTGCTCCTATTGTTGTTGGAATACAGAACTGTCGATTTATTGTCACAATACAACTTTAGTGATCTTTCTATGCTGTTCAGAATGCGCAGCCCAATGTTAAAGTTTCGCAGCCATATTCCATGGTTAGATGCCTCATAGCATGCTACAAACTCTGCAGCCATGGTAGAAGAAGTTATGAGTGTCTGCTTGGCACTCTTCCAGGAAATAGCTCCTCCAACTAGCAGATAGATATAGCCTGATGTGGATCTTCTACTTCTTGGCATCCAGCAAAATCAGAATCAGAGTACCTTATGATCTCCAACTGATCCGATCTGTTGTATGTGAGCATGTAATCCTTTGTTCTCTTTAAATACCTCATAACCCTTTTGGCTGCTTTCCAATGATCCATTCCAGGGTTGCTTAAATATATGCTTAGCATTCCAACAATAAATGCTATGTCTGGACGTGTACAAATTTGAGCATACATTAAACTTCCAATAGCTGATGCATAGGGAATCTTTTGCATTTCTTTAACTTCAAGGTCATTTTGCGGGCATTGTTTGAGACTAAATTTGTCTCCCTTAGCAACAGGGGTGTCACCTGGTTTGCAGTCTTGCATGCCAAACCTCTTAAGCACTTTATCGATATAGCTCTTTTGTGACAATCCAAGAATACCTCGAGAACGATTTCGACGTATCTGAATCCCTAATACAAAAGAGGCGTAACCAAGATCTTTTATCTCAAAATTCCTTGACAGAAATCTCTTGGTTTCGTGTAACGTGCCTATATCATTAGCAGTAAGCAGTAAGTTATCAATATACAAAATCAGGAAAATATGCTTACTCGCACTGAACTTGTGATACACACAATCATCAACAGTATTCATCTGAAAACCAAATGAGATAATTACTTGATGAAATTTGTGGTACTATTGACGGGAAGCTTGCTTGAGCCCATAGATAGATTTCTTTAATTTGCAAATCATATTCTTCGGGTCTCCTGACACAAAGTTTTCTGGTTGCACCATATAGATCGTCTCGTCAATGTTGCCATTGAGAAACGCCGTCTTAACATCCATCTGATGTAACTCAAGGTCAAAATGCGCAACAAGTGCCATAATTATCCTGAAAGAGTCTTTCGTCGAAACTGGAGAGAAAGTCTCTTTGAAGTCGATGATTTCCTTTTAGGTAAAGCTTTTAGCCACAAGACGAGCCTCATATCTTTCCACATTACCTTTCGAATCCCTTTTGGTTTTAAAAATCCATTTGCAATCGATGGACTTCGCACCTTCTAGTAACCGGACAAGATCCCAAATTTTATTATCTTGCATAGATTTATACTCCTCATTCATGGCATCAATCCACTTTTGAGAGTTAGAACCTTGCATGGCCTGATAGAAATTGATTGGACCATCTTCCATCATTCCATTATTTTCCTCATGTTCTTGGAGAAATACTATAAAATCATCTGAAATATCATTTTTCCTTTCTCTTGTGGATCTCCTTAATGGCATTGGTTCTTGAGGTTGTTGAGTTTGCACTTCTGGAATAATTACCTCATTTTGGGTGGAAAGTTCTTCAACATTGTCTTGTTGAGGTTCTGGATATAGTTATTGATCAATGACAGGTATAGAAACATGTACATTGTCAAAAGCAATAGTAGGAATCGAGATCGATCCTCCCTCAACTTCTTCCTCAAAGACAATGTCTCTAACCTTATTTCTCCCTCCAAACTCAACATCATCACAAAATGTTGCAATTCCCGTTTCAAAAATTCACTTAAATGTGGGATCATAAAATTTGTAGCCCCTAGATCGCTCAGAATAGCGCTGCATACTGTTTTGGAGTCCAATTTCTTTTCATGTGGCCTATAAGGCCTAGCCTCAACTGGACATCTCCAAACATGAAAATGCTTTAGACTAGGCTTTCTGCCTGTCCAAAGCTCATAAGGTGTTTTAGCAGCAGCCTTAGTTGGTACTCTGTTCAGAATATAAGTTGCGGTCTTTAATGCCTCTCCCCAGAGTGATTTTGGTAAGTTTGAATGACTAATCATACTCCTTACCATGTCCTTAAGAGTTCTGTTTTGTCTTTCAGCTACACCATTCATGCTAGGCGATCCTGGCATGGTGTATTGTGGGACGATTCCACATTCCTCTAGGTATTTGACAAATGGTCCTGGACATTGTTTACCTAATCTGTCATATCTGTCGTAGTACTCACCACCACGATCAGATCTAACGCTCTTTATCCTTTTGTTGAGTTGATTTTCAACCTCAATTTAAAAATTTTGAACATGTCCAGTGACTCAGACTTTTCATGAATAAGATACAGGTACCCATAACGTGAGTAATCGTCTATGAATGATATAAAATATTGTTGACCATTTCAAGAAATCGTAGGAAACGATCCACAAATATCTGTGTGTATCAACTGTAAGACATCCGAAGTTTTGTTAGCACCTAATCTCTTTGTTTTGGTGTGTTTTCCCTTGATACGATCAGTACA